TGCTGTTATCTGAGGTGACCTTGCCCAGTGACGCATATATATATATTTGGAAAAGATTCTAGAAGTTTTTTTAATGGAAGGGGATATAAGACTAGAGTGAAGTGACTTGCTTAGCATGGTAAGTGGGAACTTCTTGTCCAAAGAGAGGCTTTATAATGGCAATACGAAAGACAATTAAGAATGTTGTTTTATTATTCTATGGCCAACTTGCGACTTAAAAGTAACCACAAATAGAAGACACCTAGGTGGCTGCCAACAGACTGCCCAAGTGGCCCACGTTATGTGCCAACAAGTCAAGTCCGACTCCAAGTGACCCTATGAACAACAGACCTGAACTCTGTCCTGTCCTGTCCTGTGCCATCCTCATCATGTCTGCAATCCCCGATCCCACTGCTGCAGTCACTGTGCCACTCCATCTCATTGAGGGCTTTCCTCTCCTTCGCTGACCACCTCTCCAAGCATGAGGTCCTTCTTCAAAGACTGGCCCTCATAACAATGTGCCTACAGTGTGTGTGATGAAGTTTCACCATCCTGGCTTCCAATAAGCACTATGTTTTACTTTCTCCAAAACAGACCTGTTTGTTCTTTTGGCAGTTGATGGGATATTCAGTACTCTTCTCCAACACCACAACTCAAATGCAGCAATTTTTCTTCTGCCATCCTTATTCACTGTCCAGATTTCTGAGGCACAACAGGTGATTGGAAATACCATGGCTGAATCAGGTGCGCCTTAGTCTTTATACTGACAATACTCTTCAGGACTTCGGAGAGGTCTCTGATAGGAATCTTAACCCAGTGCTTAAATTGTTTCCTGATCTCCCAACTACTAGTACCTAGGGTACTGATTGTGGAGCCAAGTAAGGTGAAGTCATTTGACATTTCAATCTTTTAATCATCTATCATGACATGGCTCATATATTCATCTAAAATTTCCCTTCAAAAAACAGAGTTTAGAAGGAATGGTGTAGAAACCTTACAGGTAAATTGGAGGTAGCATTAGCCACGTGGTCCTTCATAACATCCTTATAAAACTCACATCTTCATGAAGTTTTTAACTAGACAGGAAGGATTAAATGACTAAACATCTTACTACATTTGTCACAAGTCTTCCAGATGGGGGAAATGGTGGGTGTGGGCATATGACATGCCCCGGAGAGTCTAAAATGATATTCCTGTCTGATTGTTCCCACTCAACAGTTTTGCTAAATATTTTCAGCATGTTTCCCTGTTTGTTTTTAGCGGAAGAAAGGTCAGGTTACACCATTCCAACTGGCATCATCCTAACACATGGATAAAATACGCAAATGTATTACCCAGTGAGCTCCAGTGCTTCCAGCCGTTCTAGCCATGGCCATATGAGGTAATCAATCATAGACACGCTGTTGCCACCCAGGAAAGTTGTCTTCTTACTGGTAAGTACCTGAGCATCAGAAAAGATGCAGGGAAATACAGAGCCATTAAAACCACGGACAAATTGTGGAAGCAAGGGTAAAAGTTTCTCTTTCTTCCTTGCTATTTTAATGTCCATGTAATAATTACCTATTTCCAAATAAAGCCCATGACAAAGCATTTTTAGGTGTCTGGCCTAATTATTAAGCATCAGTTTAACTGAAACTGGTTATAAATAAAACCTCATGTGATAATATTATAAACTGTCATAAAGTGACTTGAGTATACAAAAAGTGTAGATGAGCAAGGCAGACACAGTATCAGTTACTGTGATATGAAGCAAGAAGAAAAAATGTTATACCTCCTCTAGCTTGCTGAGTTTTTTACATATTTCTTCTTTTAGATCAGAGCAGTCTTCCTTATTTTTTCTTCTCAAAAAGCTTGTTAACAATGATGGTACCTAAACAGAGAATAATTTCTTAGATTCTATTTCAAAGCTGTTTTATACACACACACACAAATACACACCCCAGCATGACCACCTAAAAATATATTATAGACCTTCAGAGTACCTAGGTGCCAGACAGTCTTAGAAATGTCACAGGTACAGATACCCTACGATGTTAAGAGGTTATGCATTCATCTCAGAAACAACTTTATAGCTTAAGATTTTACCAGCCTAAGTGCTGGAGACTAAGGTGCGTCTGATACAGGCCATGGTCTTCGCAATCACTTGTTATGCATCAGAGAGTTGGACAATGACCAAGGAGGATAGAAGGAGAATTGATGCCTTTGAGCTGTGGTGCTGGAGAAGAGTATTGAGAATACCATGGACTGTTAGAAAAAACAGATTTGTCCTGGAAAGGGTTAAACCAGGTGGCTCCTTGGAGGCAAGGATTCTGAGGCTCCGTCTAACATACTTTGGACATATTGTACGGAGAGACCGGTCCTTGGAGAAGGACATCATGCTTCGGAGAGTGGAGGGACAGCTCAGGAGGGGAAGGCCCTCTATAAGGTGGACTGATTCAGTGACTGGGATAATCGGGATGGGAGTGTCGGAGACAGTGCGATTGGCACAGGACAGAGCGGAGTTTAGGACTGTTGTACATAGGGTCGCTATGAGTCACAAGCGACTCGACGGCACATAACAACAACAACAAGTGCTGTGCATCAGAGAGAGGTGGACAATGACTAGAGATGATAGAAGAAGAATTGATTTCTTTGAGCTGTGATGCTGGAGAAGAGTACTGAATACTGCTAAGAGAGCAAACAGCTTCGTCGTAGAGAGGATGAAACTAGGCTGCTCCTTGTAGGCAAGGATTTTGAAGCTTCATCTGACCTACTCTGGACATGTTGCAAGGAGGGACCAGTCCTTGGAGAGGGACGTCATGCTTGGGAGGGTGAAGGGACAGTGCAGGAGGGGAAAATCCCCTATGAGATGGTGTAATGGGGGTAGATGTGTCAGAGACAGTAAGATTGGCACAGGATAGAGCAGGGTTTAGGGCTGTTATACGCAGGGTTGCGATGAGTCGCAGGCGACTCGACAGCACATAACAACAACAAGTTCCAAGTAGTAGAGCCCACTTTGGTGAGTTTGAGCCATAATTTTATAAGAGAACAGAGAGGCCCAAAGAATTGGAGGGAGGTTGACTAACTAGGCTTGGAACTAAGCTAGAACACTCCAGAAACATGAACAGGTTGTACTCCGGGACACACCACTATTGCCAGTGCCTCAGCTGAGCGCTAAATACTAGATTCTGCTGTGGCCAGAAACTGGACTCTGAGGTCCCTGTTACTCTTGTAACTGAGTTTATCCTAATTCTTGACAAACCCGTGTGTGCAGAGTTGAACTGATCCATAGAGTTTTCAAGATTAATCTTTGAGAAGTAGATCATCAGGCCCCTTTGGGTGAACTGCCCACCTTCAGGCTGATAGGAGGGCAATTAACCACTTGCCCGTAAGTCAGGAGCACAGATGCCATTTCTACCGTCGAATTCAGTCTTGCAATCAACACTGCTCCTGGAAACTGGAAGCTCTGCCACCACTCTCGCCAACACAACCTGGCCCTCAGCAAGCTCACACTGCTCATTCCTGAACTGAGTCTGCTGTCAGCTGCCATCAAGTCCACCCTCACAGGAAGTGCTTAGGTCACAGGTCCTTTGCCTTAGCTCCAGTGAGAGCTGGGAAAGAGAATGTTTCTTTTTTCTACCTTAGGAAGAACATGGGATGTGTTCAAAAGGTTCTGACAACTTAAAACTTAACAAGTATGACAGATATTTAACGTCTGTGGTGGTGGTAGTGTGTTTTAGTACTTTGGTATCATGTGGTTGCAAGAGACCTAAATCGACTCATCTCTGTTAAACAGTCACTTGTGAAGTACAAAAGAACCTCATGAAATTCACATCAACCACGCTTCGCCTCACTGGACCTGGAGCGTTGCATCAGCCCCTTTGCCACATTTCTATCTGGGCTTGTTGGATGTTTCATGTCTCCTTCACCTTGAATACCTGCTCCATGTGATTTTCCACATCTCAGTTCCTTTCACAATGCTCTGTTCCCCTAAAGCTTTTTTACTTGATTTTGGTTTGTCAAGTCTCCAATGATATCTAATTTTATAGCACCAAAGTTCAATGCCTTTATCATGTTAGACTACATATCCCAGTTCCAAGTTCCCGGGAGATAGGCCGACGGGCCCAGATCTAGGAATCCACTGCTCATCTATGACTCTTGATAAAAGGCTACTCCTTCCTGTGCAAATGCAGGCAGGGAAGTAATAGACAATCCCCAACTTCTATTATAGCTCATTTACTTCTCAACAACATAAGGAACAACTCTTGTTCCTTTTTTAAAAAACAAAACAAAACAACTTTCCCAAATCTGTCTTGAAAATATCATATGCCCCTCCATGTCTGACAGCAGGTAGTGCTACTACTCTTTCATTCACCTGCATCCTGCTGAAGTCAGGCACCTCCTCTTCCTCATCGGCTTCCCTTTACAATGTCTCCCAACCCAGAATTTCCTGCCTCTTAAGTCTCTTCCTTTTTCTGCGCATTTCATTCTTGAAAGACAAAGATGCTCTCTTAAAATATGCTGAGCTTTCAACCAAGGCAACACGGTAATAGGGAAATAGTCTAGTATTGCTATTCTTGCTGTCTAAACCCACATCTTTTGGTTGTTTATCAATAAGGATTGTGTGGACAAATCCACAGTACCGTTGCTAAATAACATACAAACACACCTAGAGGAATGACATTCATTCAGTCAGTCGAGCGCTACTGCCAACATAACAGAGGCTCACTGTGAGGCTCTGGGGCTACCCCAGCAAGCACCACCATGGAGTGTCTACCATGGCTCAGACTCTGACCCGTGTGTTTCATATGTCGAAATTCATCCTACTCTTACTGGGAAGAAACCGCTCTGCCATCAAGTTGACTCTTGACTCATAGCATTCCTCCCTAACGTTTCTGAGGCTGTATCTTACTTAGCAGGAGAAGAATCTCTCACAGAGTAGTCAGTGGCTTCAATCCAGGGCTCTTTTTGTTGTCAGCCCTGCATGTAATGCACTGCACCACCAGAGCTCCTTTTTAGCTTCTGAGGTGGGAACAGTTATCATATTTTACAAGTGACAGAACCAAAGCACAGTGAGGTAAAGTATTAAGCTCCTTGTGCAGAGGTCCACAACGAGAAAGTGGAAGAACTGGGCAGTGATTAAGACACGGCTCTTATCCCCAGGGTGTGCAGGTCTTAGGACAATACTCAAAGGGGCAAACAATCACAACACATGGACCAGGCATGTCCAGAAAGGAAAGACCCAGTCTGGGCAAGCTCTGGAAGGCAGCTCCCTAGCCAGACACATGAAAAATGAGGTGGAGGAGATAAGAGGCAAAGGGAGAAGAGAAGACTATGAAAGACTGATGCTAGAAGAGGTAAGAGAGAAAGCGGAAAATTTAGGAAAACTGAAGCTACTCAGCTGGCTGGACCATGTCACTCTGGAAAGGTAAACTGAGCACCCTGATCAGGGACAGGTTTCGGGCCACGTGGGAGCTGACAAGAGCCTCTTCCCATCCTCTTATCCCCTTCCAAGCCCCTGGGTCATACATTACTGCCTTGGTTTCCTCGAGAAATAAAGATGTTTCAAACTGGAGCTGAATTTTTTTTTATATACCTACCTGAGAAAATAATTCAAAGACCATCTTTTGGCAAGCTTTCTCATAGGGGTCATCTGGCAGCAGCTTCTTGCCCGGATATACTTCATCCAGGTACTCACAAGTGATGGACGACTCGTAGATCAGTTGGCCCTGACTAGTTTCCAGTACCGGCACCAGACCCTCAGGATTCTTTGTAAAGAACCACTCAGGTTTATTTTTCAGGTTGATGTTGATGACTTCATGCCTGAAAGGCACACAGAAGACAAGAGAGTCAAACAGTCCTGCACTTTGGAATAAATCCTCACTGGCTCCACTACCCACTCACTCATCAAACCTCCACACTGAGAAGGTGACTCAGCCTTGACTACACTGGCCATGTCCATTCCATTAACCGGGCAAATACAATCTCACCTTAGAGCCTTTTTGACCTTGTTTCTCTCCCTGGAAAACAACTTCTCAAGTCAAACAAATCCTGAGAGACCCTCCCCTCCTCCACACAGCTGTCCAGCCTCCTTTTACATATTTCCATTTTTTTTTTCTCTCGTTTCATTCAACTACTCTCATCTGCTGAGATGTCCTTGTTCACGTCTTAGAATGTTCAACCAATGAAGCAGGGAATCTGCTTTTATTATTTCCATGGGTGAAAGATGGGCAATCTCCTCTCATGTGTTCAACTGTCTCTAAAAATCCAAATGGAGTCTTGAACCCCAATGTCCATAGCAGCATTATTCACGATCTCAAGAACACAGAAACATGCACACCCATGTCTATCGCAGCTCTGTTCACAATAGCAAGGAGTTGGAAACAACCTAGGTGCCCATCAACAAATGAATGGGTAGAGAAGCTGTGGTATATTCACACAATGGAATACTATGCTGCATTGAAAAATAAGGAACTCATT